AATTAATTAATTAATTAAAAAAATAAAGGAGATGACCAGTCAGGGGATCTTAACCCTTGACTTGGTGTTTCAGCACCATGCTCACCCAAGTGAGCCACGGGCCGGCCCAATTTTTTCTCTTGTGTTTATGGTGACATATAAGCTCTCTTTTGATTCCAGATGTAGGATCCCCTTCAGGATTTGCTGAAGGGCTGGTCTTCTGATGATGAATTTCTGCAGTTTTTGTTTGTCTGGGGAAGATACTATTTCTCTGTCATTTCCAAAGGGAAGCTTTGCTGGATATAGTGTTCTTGATTGGCAGTTTTTTTCTTTTAGCGCTTTTTTTTTTTTTTTTTTTTTTTTTTACCAGAAAGGGGATCACAACCCTTGGCATGGTGTGATCCGCACCACGCTCAGCCAGTGAGCGCACCGGCCATCCCTATATAGGATCCGAACCCGCGGCCTTGGCGAAGCGCTGCACTCTCCTGAGTGAGCCATGGGGCCTCTTTTAGCACTTTGACACTGTCTGGCCTGTAGGGTTTCTCTTGAGAAGTCTGCTTGTTAGCCTGATGGGCATTCCCTTAGAGGTAATTTGACACTTTTCTCTTACTGTTTTTAGAATTCTTTCTTTGTCTTTGACTTTTGACAATTTGACTATTATGTGTCTTGGGGAGGTCCTTTTTGATTGAAACTGTTTGGGGTTCTTTGAGCTTATTGGATCTGTAAGACCTTGTTTCTTGCAGTATTTGGGACTTCCCAAATACTGTGAGCTATTTCATTAAACAGCTTTATTCATTAAGCAGCTATTATTTCATTAAACAGCCTTATTCAGCTGTTATTTTATTAAACAGGCTTTCAAGGCCTTTTCCTTTCTCTTCCCCTTCCTGTACACCTATAACATCAATGTTTATATGCTTAATGTTATCAGAAAGATTTTGCAGGCTTTCTTCATTCTCTTACATTCTTTTTTCTTTTTTTTTTTTGTTTCACCTGTGAATTCAAAAAGCCTCCCTTCTAGTTTGGAGACTCTTTGTTCTGCTTGTTCTAGCCTGCTGCTCATGCTCTCAGTTGTATTTTTTTATTTCTTTGAATGAATTCTTCAGTTCCACAATTTCTGCTTGTTTTTTTTTATTGTTTGTGTCATTTTGTTGGATTTCTCATACATGCCCTCAAATTTCTTTTTGACTTTGTTGTGATATCCAGTTTTTTATCCATCATTTTATATTTCCTTAGTGTTACCCTTTGGGATTCCCCCTCAGGCAACTCATCAGTTTCCTGTTGTTTGGAGTCTGGTATTGGAGAATTGTAGTCGTCTTCTGGGGGAGTCATGTTTCCGTTTTTTCATGCTTCTCATATCTCTGCATTGACATCTGGGTGGTGTGACACTTCTTTTAATTCTAGGAGTGTCTTTTGAAGGAGGAGACCCTTTCCTGTAGAAATATATTGTATATTGACAGTCAGGTTGGGCATTTTAAGTTTGGATCTAGATGAGTGTGGTAGTGCAGCTTTTGTGTAACTTCTTCAACTGTATTCAATCTTAGAGTCGTCTCTGGGTGCCTTCATGGATTAGGTGGTGGGACTCTTGGTAGTTTCTTACGGTGGGTTCCTTGTTGGGGTGGTTGATCCACTGTTGGCGAGTAAGCAGATATATATTGTTGCAGCAGGTCCTGGTAGCTCTGTAGAGGGCCACTGGCTCAGCTTTTGAGCCTGGAGCAAGCCTGTGTGAATACTGCAGGACCCAGAGGCTTTCTAGAGCGGTGCTATAGGGAGAAAAAGCTGCTACCTGATCAGTTGTTGGCTTGGGAGTAGGTATACATAGCTGTCCTGGGCCTGGCAGCTCTGCAGGTGGCCGCCCAATCAGCCGTTGAGCCTGATGCAAGCCTGTAAGGGTGCAGCTGAGGCCAGCAGCTCTGCAGAGGTCTGCCTAGGAGCATCAGAGGCCCTACCTGATCTGCTGTTGGTCTGGGAGCTGATATACACTGAGGTAACAGGTCCTGGAAGCTCTGCAGAGGGCCATCGGCTCAGCTCTTGAGCCTGGAGAGAGACTATGTGAATGATGCAGGACCCAGCGGCTCTCTGGAGGAATGCTGTAGGAAGGGCAAGCTGCTACCGAATTGCTGTTGAGCCTGATGCAAGCCTGCAAGGGTGTACCTGAGCCCAGCAGCACTATTGAGACTTGCCTTGGAGAGAGGGTGCTGTGTGAATTCAGACACTGGGGTCTCAGTCTTTCTGTCTGTCCTTCAGTCTTTCTTTCTGTCCTGTGCTTCAGGCAGCCTGTGCCTTGGTCCCACTGGCACCCATTACCATGGTAGAATGCAGGCAGAGCCTCCAGACAAAGGGAGTTAGACTCACTGGGTCCAGGGCAGGGTGCACTTCTGCTCCCTGGGGTTTTGGCTCCCTGATGGTGCTGAGACTCAGCCATTCAGGGCAGGAGGGGTTTAATCTTGAGCTTTCACTGTAAGACTCAGCTACACTAATTCCCAGATACTCTCCAACTGGGCCTGAGGGGGCTTCCTTGAGGTGGGGATCGCCGGTGTTCATGGTGGTGGTGGGAATAACTGGGGTCTTTTCCAGCTTACCTTCTCTCTGCCTGTTCCCAGCGGGTCCCTGCGGCATGGCTGAGGCCGGATGCTCTGCTCTGCTGTCTACGGGCCGTTCCCCTCCACGCTTCACAAGGATCTCTTCAGTCTCCATGGTGCTCTGCACTGTGTTGCCTCAGGTTTGAGTCAAAATATATATTTGTTTGGCTGCTGTTTTGGTCTCTCTTTATGGGGAGGGGACTAGTTCCAGACCTCTCTCTTTATGGGGAGGGGACTAGTTCCAGACCTTGGGAAGGTCTCCTGCTCCCACTTCTACGGCACGGCAGTCCTCGAAACATGTGCCACCACGTGTTCTGGGGGATGAGAAGCCTGGGGGGAGCATCACAAGGGCATGGTGGCATTCCCACCCAAGTCATGGAGGGAAAAATCTAGGCTTTCTCACAAAGATTAATTTTTCGTACAAAAAAAGAAACCCTAAACCTTTGCTTTCTGCATGTCTAAGAACCTGAAATAAAATAGCAGTTGATTTAGCACAAAATTAAGATTAGTAACTTGTTGTTTGCCATATTGGGGTTTCTTGGCACTCCAGAGAGAGCAGTGTGACTCTCAGGGCTTGCCTGGAGCAGGCCTGGGAGCCCACATGTGCAGCAGCACCAAGGATGCCTCTTCTGGAAGCTTCCCTGACTGATGTCTGCTCACCCACGCTGTGCTCAGCATACACTGCAGTGCCCAGCTCCCGCCAGCCACCTTTTTACTTCTAGGGAAACAGTCTTGGAGAAAGGCATTCCCACCCCCTGGTTTTCAAATCCAGTTAATGACAGAGCTGTTAAAAGGTGTCCTTGCTTTTTGTGAACCTGTTCCTAGAAATGGGAACTCCACACTTCAGGAATGAACGGGCTTAGGGAATACATGCTGACAGCCGCTCTGGCCAGTGCAGCTCTGGTCTGCAGCAGGTTGCTGCCCTCCAGCCAGTTACCACATTTGGAAGAAGAGCTTTGAGAACAAGGTGTCACCACCTTGAGAGAGGAGCCAGCCTGTGTCATTGGGGCCTCACAGTGATTCTGTGAAACGGGCTGAGGAAGCCTCAGTGGTGAATCTCACGTGTCCAGACACTGCGGTGTTGGGCTCTTGTCCCACCGTCTGCCCCTCTGGATGCTGTCTTTCCATTTTCTGTTACATGCACGGCTGAGGAAGTTGCCATGCACTTTAGCTTTAGAACAAGTGGCACGCACTTTCTGAGTGGCCTTGGGCCACTGCTGTGTGGTGTCTCTTGGCATGTTGGCCCTTCCCTGTCATTTTGGGAGTGGCAGTGTTGCTGCACTAGCAAGGGGAGGATGGGTTCTGCTCTAGAATTTGAGGAAAAATTTACCATTGAGCTAAGTCAGAAGGGAGCTTCCTCTGGGTGGCTGTTTCCAGCAAGGTTTGGCCTCTGGTTTTTCACTATGTGTTATCCTTCATGAGGAAAAGTCAAATTTACAGAAGAGGAGGGAATGAAAAAAGGTGTGTGATTGGAGTGTTTTCCTCTGGGTAATGAATCTGTGGTAAAGCTAGGGTCTTCAAACCCACAAAGGTGAAGGAATGCTCTGTGTTAGCTCAGGAGGGATGTGGAGATGAACACTGGAAAGCATCCATCACCCAGTGTGGGGTGCCCAGGAGCCTCCGGTGCAGGGCTCAGCAGGTGGGCGCGGAGGGGCTGCCGCTCTTCTGTGGGGGTCGGGGAAGCTGGAGGCAGAGCTTCGGGAGAGGGAAAGGCAGGAACACAGGGGCCAAGGTGCAAGTGTGTGGAGCACCGTGTCCTCACCAGCTGGGGCAGGGGACAGAGGCCCTGAGGGGTGCATGGGGGAGTTGGACTCTGCTGTGTGGTGGGCAGAGCTGAGGGCCACGGGCGCGGACAGTATGGAGGAAGTCCTCCTTCCACCCGAGCCCCTCGGCCACTACTCCCCACCCAGAGGAAACCTCAGACACCAGGTTTTCCACATGTTGTGGGCTCCTCAGCCAGAGAAGCCCTGTTTCCCCTCCAGACTACTGTCTCCACTTAGTGGCCAGAGGTAATGGGGGAGTTGAACCTAGAAATTCTGTAACAGAAAAAAAGTTCCTAATTTTGATGGATTGTGATGTCATCACTTGACAGACAAATGTGTGTTAGAAAAATGCTCTAGGGACAGCAAAAACATGCCGGATGTCACTGAGGGGCATGGATGGACAGATAGAGGGGTCAGCAAGCACCTGTTCACCACCTCTGTGCTGGCGACGTCCGCCATTTGGCTTGTACAACTTTTTTGTTACCTCCACGGCCACCACAGTGACCAGTTGAGCTGAGATTCAGGATGAAGCTCCCTGCTTCCCAGGCCAGTGTTCTCTCCAGTCATCTCAAGCATATCCTGGCTAAAGGCCCCCATGCCCTTTATTGTGGGGTGTCAGTAGAGCTTGGAGAGCCCTCACTGGGAGAGCCCTCGCAGTCTCTTAGGCTTTGGCTTGGCTCTTTCATCAGCCTGGATCTGAATCTGAATGTACAGTGGCCAACCTGCCTGCCCAGCCTTTAGGTGGCAATATTTGTGCCCCCAAATTTCAGGTTGAATGACTGCTGTGATGACTAATAATGGGAGTTGCCACTTATTGGGCACCATTGTGTGCCAAGCATTGTCCTGGCACTTCACCTCATTGTGCCACAGTGTCACAGCATCCCTATTGATGTACAAGGAGACTGGCCCACGGAGGGGAAGTGCATTTCCCACCAGACAGTGTCAGGATTTGAACCCAGGAGTGTGAGCCCAGAGCTAATACCTTTCTTTTGATACATTACTCAGCCAAACACTCACAATGGTTGTGCTGTATGAAAGACATACACCTTATGTTAATTTTTTTTTTTTTTTTTAACAAAGATGACCGGTAAGGGGATCTTGACCCTTGACTTGGTGTTGTCAGCACCACGCTCTCCCAATGGTTGTGCTGTATGAAAGACATACACCTTATGTTAATTTTTTTTTTTTTTTTAACAAAGATGACCGGTAAGGGGATCTTGACCCTTGACTTGGTGTTGTCAGCACCACACTCTCCCAAGTGAGCTAACCAGCCATCCCTATACAGGGATCCGAACCTGTGGCCTTGGTGTAATCAGCACCACACTCTCCCAAGTGAGCCACGGGCTGGCCCCCTAATTATGTTTTTTTAATAAACACATTGATTTTAGGGCCTAATCAAAGTTGAAATCTGCATTGTTAGCTTGGCACATCAACTGTTGCTAACTGAATGTGCACTCAAAATAAGCTGTCCCTTTTGTGCCTTGTCTGTGAGCATGGTTTTCTTTATATTAGTAAACCCTTGAAAGTAAGTTTTACTTCAAAAAGAATAAGATGACAGATGTCAACAAAAATGGCAGAGTAGGGAACTCCAAAGGCCTGTGCCTCCACAAAAGCAGAGAATAAACTGGCAACTGTCAGAATCTACTTTATTGGAACACTGGAAATTAATGAAAAGTTTATAGAAGCCAAGTAAATGCTTAAGAAAAACCAGCTGAATCTCAGTAACAGAGCTTAGTGGCATTTTCACTTTCCCTGGCCTTGTTACCTGCTCCTCAGCTCAGTGGCTGCCCATGTTCCTCCTATAGGTTTCTAGTACTGATGGGAGCAGAATGGACCTCATTCTCAAAGAATTATGGTGGTTTGTTTGGATCTGTTTGGTGGCTCTTTGAAGGACTGGTTCAAAGGACCTGGCCTTTATTTTGCCTAACTTAGAATTCTCCTAGAGCATAGAGGGACTGTTATTGAAAATATTTAAAGGGATATGGGATGGGCCAGTTAGCTCAGCTGGTTAGAGCACAGCCTTATAACTTCAAGGTCACAGGTTCAGTTCCCCATACCAGCCAGCAACCCCCCCCCCCCAAAAAAAAAAAAGGGATATTTATACCCCCCTCCCTCGGGGGGCAAAAAAAAAAAAAAAGCGGGGGGGGAAGAGGGGGG